GCACGGCAGCGATAGCTGTTGCTCGATGAGCCGACACCTGACCCAAACTCACTGAAGAAAAGCTCGGCCGAAGGAAAGCCCTCCGCTGGCCTTGGGCTGCTGTTTTCCTGAAAAAGCCTAGCAGACCTGGCGCTAAGCTGCGAAATGATGGTTCAACAATGGTATGAGCAGTGGAAACACACCAAGATCAACGCAGTCCATGGCGGATACATGGGAAAGTTCGTGCGTCAACAAAGGCAAAAATTAGAAAGGGACCCGCCTGTGAATTTCACCAGCTGCGTCTCAGGCAAGACTCAGCGGGCGAAAACGACTGACATGGGAAGCCGGCTGCATAGCCGCCGCGCTAAAGCTGAGGCAGAGCATCTAGGTCATGGCGGCAAACATCGCCATCAAGGCGCGCCATGCGTCCTTAGATGCATCGCGTGCTGTGTCACAAGACAAAACAGGCATCACAAGCCCTCGCCACATTGTTGTACCAAAGCCCGAATTGGCGACGCCATGGAGTCCATCAGTCGCTGGTGCTTCTTTGCTTCTCTGCTCTTTACTTTCAGTACCAGTGTCAGTCCGACAAACAACCGAAAACAGACAACTGGAACTGATTCCGCAGCCAATATCAGACCCCCTGTGTTGAATGAAGCTGACTGACATCGCCTCCAACGCCCAGACAGCGGCATCCATGCCCGAGCAATCCGTAGCAAACGGCAGGCATCCGTGCCATAGGCCCCGCGACGGCTGTCTGTGAGGCAGGCCTTAAGCTCCTGCGCAAAGTCTTTGCCCTTGCTGCAAGAGCCATGCCTCCGACGCATGGACAGCCGCGTCGGCATACGCGTGGCCCCATGTGTGCGCCATGCTGCGCTGAGCTTTCGTTGGCCCGGAGCAAAAGCAACACGAACGCAGAAACTTGCAATGACAAGCAAGAGCTTCGATGCGCAGAAGCCTTGACTCTCAGTCAACACAACTGCGTCGCACCAGGGCCACTCCGCAAACAAAACTTAGTCCTGGACAGCAAGCCGACTCCGAACTGTCAAGACACTTGCGCGCCCCCCGTTAGCGACACAGCCTTTGCCTTACCGATGTCTGCTCCCAGACCACTCAGCGTCTCGGCAGCTACAAAAAGGAGGTAAAGCGGCCGTGGCCCAGCTTCTTTGACCTATGAGCCTACGGGTTCCGACAAGCTCCGTGAGCTGACACCAAGCGAATTATGAGCATCCCCCAGGCTCAGACATGTCCACAATACTTCACATGTTAGTGAGTAGTGGATGTCTACTTAAGGGCATCCAAGTGTGCTAAGTGCTTCAAAGTGAAGTATTACCGCAAGGCATTTTGCTCGCAAGGTTTCTCCCTTGGGGCAGGTCTATCGAAGCTTGCCGGCGTGCTACTGACTGACAAGCTTAGCTGGGTAATGCGTAAACGTTATTGTTGACGGGGGCTTATATATAGCGCATCCATCCAAGCTGCGAGGGGCTTACCCAACCTTTGGAAACCATCCCTTTAAGCTGCGCCATTGTGCCATTGTGTAGATGTTCATCCCAAGTGCGTTCCTCGTGCTAGACTAGACTTGTTGGACACGGGTGGCGCTGATTTTTGCTGCCGGGTCTCGGGGGGGCCGCAGAAGTGGTTTGCTGTTAGAGACCAACTCTGGGGATCTTCTGGGCTGTAGGGTTTGCTCCTGTTTTGCAGCGCAGGGGCGCGCTTGTCGGTGCAACGAAGCAAATGCACAGCGCTCTTTTCTGCGACGTCTGCTTGTGAGATATATAACCCCGGCCCAAGCCTATGATGTGAGGTGCTCCTAGAGATTGCTGTGTAGGGCAGCGCTTAGCGCAACGTGAGTGCGCCGTGCTGGCACGTGCTTCATCCCACTGCTAGCACAGCTTCCCTAACGCGCGATGACGAAAACACCTTGGTCTCCGCACTTCGAGGCCTGGACTAGAAAGTCTCAACCAGATCTTACCCGGGAGCGGCGGGGCGTGGCGCTCAAGCGTTGCTTCCGAAAGACCCTGAAACAACCAGCTCCAACAGCCCAAGCCCAGTGGAGGCCCTGCGTATGAACCGCGCAAAGAAAGAAAAAAAGGAGCTGCCCCACGCGTCAAGAACGAAGCTTATTGCCGCACGCGTCCGCCCTGAACAGAAGCGCTTTGGAGCAGCTGAAGCCTTTCGGAAAGCAGGCGCAATTGTATGGCCGCGCGCTAGTGACTGCGCCCTGCGTTCCGAAAGAGGCCGACGCCACGCGTCTTCTTCTGCGGCGGCGCGTCTCGTTTGCGTAACCAGCGAAGACGAGCTAGCCATTTTGTTGCCCCAAGTCGCGTGTGTCTGTGTGTGTGTGTGTGTGCGTGTGTATCTTGAGCCCCCCAAACAGCGGCCCTTCAAAAAGTTTGGCCCAGCGAGAATCAAATGTCCCTTCGCCAAGCAGCCGCTTTCTGAAGCATGACGATCATGGCATGCAGCTGCTCGTTCCCGAGCACCTCCTGAATCCTGAGTGCGAGGGTCCACGGCAGGCTGCCTGGTGTCGCTCGCCTCCACGGCCACCGGGGCGCGTACCTGACAAACGTCTCCACAAACAAGAATGCAGCCCCTTGCGATGCGAATGACGCAATGCTGCCAAGGGACGTCGTACGTCACAGTGGCCCAGCCCTCATCAGGCCGACACCAGTCTTGCAGCTCCGACAAGGCGCGCAGTGAGCTGGGTTTTTGGGCAGCAAACTCGACAAACAACTTGTGGACCTATGGAGGCTAAAAGGGAGTCTATGTTGCAAGCCACCCGCAGCGCAAGCCCGCAGGGACCGCCCACGGTGGTGCTGCGGCGCGCTGAGCCAGAGCCAGATCCGCGCGCGGAGCTCAAACGTGTCTGCCCTTTTGGGCAAAAAAACGCGTCGATTTGTTCAACGCGCTTCTCAGTGTTCTACGTTGCTAGGGGGAAAGGCGTCCGTCGACAAGAATGCAATACTCACATTTCTATGCCCTTGCCCTGCTTTCGCAACGGGAGCGCTGAGCATTAGACAAAGGTCACTACAAACTGATGTCGCTTCATGGGAACACACAATACTGCAACGGCTATCTCCCCTCCCCTCAAACATGCCACCAAGAGAGCAGATTAGTTTTCTCAAAGATTCTTGTCTAGTATTTGAGAAAGTTGGGGAATATCATCTGCTTTGATTGGCTCCTTTATTCGTTATGCGTTGTGCATGTGGGCCTCTGTGTCCCTCCGGAGGCGCAGCCAAACAGCGCTGAGTGCCAAAAAGGGTGAAGCAAAATCCGCAAAAATAAAAAATGTCTCAGAGTGCAACCCAGTCTGGTGCTTGTGTCTCGTCGATTTGGAGTGGTTTTTAGATTTGGTGCTGTATTCTTGCGTTAAAAAGCCCAATGGATGTAAATCCCCCAATAGGGGTGGTTGTAGGGATAAATCCGCCCAACAGGGGTACCGTTCTGGTGCCTGTGTCTTGTCGATTTGGAGCGGTTTTTAGATTTGGTGCTGTATTCCTGCGGGATGTAAATCCCCCAATAGGGGTGGTTGTAGGGATGTAAATCCCTCCAAGAGGGGTACCGTTCTGGTGGAGCGGGTTGTGATATTGTGTTAGATTTCGTGCTGTACTAAAAAAGGGCAAGGGATGTAAATCCCCCAATAGGGGTGGTTGTACGGATGTTCGTCCCCCCCAAGAGGGGTACCGTTCTGGTGCTTGTGCCTCGTCGATTTGGAGCGGCTTTTGCTGTTGTATTAGATTTGGTGCTGTACTCTTGCGTGAAGAAGGGCAAGGGATGTAAATCCCCCAATAGGGGTGGTTGTAGGGATGTACATCCCCCCAAGAGGGGTACCGTTCTGGTGCTTGTGTCTCGTCGTTTTGGAGCGGTTTTTGTTATTGGGTGCCGTATTCTTGCGTTAAAAAGGCCAAGGGATGGAAATCCCCCAATAGGTGTGGTTGCAGGGATGTAAATCCCCCCAAAAGGGGTACCGTTCTGGTGCTTGTGTCTTGTCGATTTGGAGCGGCTTTTGTTGTTGTAATAGATTTGGTGCCGTATTCACGCGTTAAAAAGGCCAAGGGATTAAATCCCCCAATAGGGGTTGTAGGGATGTAATCCCCCCAAGAGGGGTATCGTTCTGGTCTTGTGTCTCGTCGGTTTGGAGCGGTTTTCGTTATTGTCTTAGATTTGGTGCTGTATTCACGCGTTAAAAAGGCCAAGGGATTAAATCCCCCAATAGGGGTGGTTGTAAGGATGTAAGTCCCCCAGTAAGGGTGGTTGATGGGTACCGTTCTGCTTCTGAAAAAGCGGTGCTTGTGACTTCTGTTTGCTTGGAGTGGTTTGTCACTGTACCAGATTTGGTGCTGGTTGTTGGTTGGGCCGCTGGGTTGAACGGTGTGTGATTTTGAGGCTCGGCACCCTTTTTGGGTGCCAAAGAACATGACCGGGACAGCCATTTTGGGGGGCCTCCTACTTGAACACACACCCACGATGCGAAAAAAACATCCTCGCTTTGGTGTCCCCAAAAAAAACACCGTCAGTCTCGCACATATCTTGCCCAGCCGCTGCCAAGCCTCCAACCTCCCCAAGGCCCGGAGCAAATGGAGCCCGGGAGCTCGGTGGTTGCGCGGTTTTGGCAACGCCCCCCCCCCCTGCAAAAAGTGTTTTTCACTTTTTGGGGGGGTTGAGTGGAAAACCCCACTTGACTTCCCAAAACGTTGAAGTCTAAAGATCCAAGCCAGTAGCGGTCAAGCAAGCCCCGCTTCAGCTTCTTGGTGGTTTAGATTGGAGGTTGCAACCGCAGTTGGGCAAACACAAATCACGGATGACTCAGGAAATCAAGCCGAGCTGCCCCTGTTTCCTTATCCGGGGCCTAACGTGGGCCTTTGAGAGTGTGCACAGGGGAAACGAAAGGAATCCGCCTCATGTCCGTCGTTTTTTCTTTGTTTAATCCGCTAGCTTTGAACAAATGACTCAATCACCTACAACATTTAAACAAAGGCTGCAATTCGTCTCGAACAAACCGTCCGCCAGTCTCGAGCGGCATACTGGAAGAACGTCTTCTTGGCGCCACCCAAAAGGCCTCGGCTGTATACCGATTTGCTGGTATGCTTCTAGAAGTATATAATGTGGCCTGTTCCTTCTCCTCTATCTCTCTTTTAAGTCGCTGTCTCTCTCGCTCTCTCTATCTCTCCCTCTCGCTCTATTTCTTTCTTTCTTTCTTTCTTTCTTTCTTTCTTTCTTTCTTTCTTTCTTTCTTTCTTTCTTTCTTTCTTTCTTTCTTTCTCTCTCTCTCTCTTCTCACCCTCAGCCCTCAACCGCTTGTTCAACACAAAAAGAAAGCAAAAAGAGAGATTTACGTAGCCAAGAGTCGGTCCTGTGTTGAGACCCTCTCCATCTCACAACGCTCCACCAGCATCTCCATGATGGCCCGGGAGCGCAACGTCTGCGTGGTCGAGTCGTCAGTCTCAAGGAATCCGCTCACCTCGGAATCAGTCGATCCTTCCATATGAGTATCTGTTTCTTGACGGCACCCTTTTCACCCTGATTTAAAGGGAAACCAAAAGGAAAGCCACTATGTTTCTGGTCAGTCGAAACATACTCATACCCAGAGGGTCATGAGTGTGCGGGCTCTGTTCTCAGAGCGCGATGGCCTGCGCCCGGTTTGGCAGTCATCTTTTTCAGCGGACAAGAGGCGCCATAGTCAAACAGTTCACACATTTCCCGCAATTTCAACCCTAGAATTTTGCGATTCGCGGCTTTTAACCCGATTTCACGCCAAGTTCACACGCAGACGCACACCAGCGAAAATGTCCCACAAGCTGGCTGGGGCAGTGCGCCTAACATTGGGCCAAATGATTGCAAAAGCATACCATCACGCCCTAAGAGCGTTTCTCTCGTCTAAAGGTCCTCCTGACCAAACACTTTCTCAGAAGGTGCTTCCGAAAGCCACTCTCAGAAGGTGTTGGGACCCTGAGCGATAGCTACCAATATGCAAATTTAATACACTCACAAAAAAACTATCCCAATGCAAATAAAACGCTTGAAGCCCATGAAATAGGACTCAGAGTGTAGAATCCACATACACCAACGAAGGCACCGCACACAAACCACAAAAGAAAGGACACTCAGATTCCACTTGCCACACTCCAGCAGCGGACCTAAGCGCTGGCACGTGACGATGGGGAACACTCTATGTGTCGCATCAACTCCCCTAGAGTGGTCTAAGTTTCCTATGCAATGGCACAGGCCATGCAACACTCCGGGTAGCACAGCGATCCGCAGCGGACATAGTGGACACTTTAAATCGAACACACCAAGGCCACTCCAAGTAGAAACCTCCAAAGACGCTACAAGTTTGCCCGAGGGGACCTCCAAAATGCGGCAAGCTCAAACTGCCAGCTACTTCTTCCGGCAAAGACCAAAGAAGGTGTTTTGTTGAGGGTACCCTCTTGAAGGCTGGCTTAACTTGAAGCCAAAAAGGAAACAACCCATTTTGGGGTCCCTATTCTGAGGCATACCCATATTCTGCCTGGTCGAGTTGCATTCAGCTCGGCATCGGTGTGAAACTCTTCCTCCGCAGTTCTCATCTCCCTTCGTGGAGCAACGGAAAACAGAACAAACAAGCAGTGCGAGGGGTCTTCCAAAAGAAAAGGTCCCAATTCGAGACCATAAAAGTTACCCTTCTGCCAAGAAAGTGTCCAAAAGCTAACTTAAATACACAGAGCAGCAATCTTAAATACAAAAAAATGCTGGTGTGGATGTGCTGTGGATATGGCATGGGTAGCAAATGTGCGGGCAATCTGGGTGAGGGTACCTGCTAGCATCATCTACACCGACTCCATGCTGAAGGCCCAAACATCAAGGCGGGGCAGCACTGAACAAGTGCTGCTAGTGCCACTGAACAAGTGGCCCCTCCCTGCACAGAACCAGTGCACTGTGGCAAGTTCAGCCTTCCCCCTCTGTTGCTCTGTTTTTTTGCCTTTCAGATTCCCATGGGCAGGAGCTGAAAGGATGCAGGCCTGCAGGCCTGCATCAACTCAAAGCTGCAGGCCCAAACATCAAGGCGGGGCAGCACTGAACAAGTGCTGCTAGTGCCACTGAACAAGTGGCCCCTTCCTGCACAGAACCAGTGCAGTGTGTCAAGTTCAGCCTTCCCCCTCTGTTGCTCTGTTTTTTTGGCCTTTCAGATTCCCATGGGCAGGAGCAAGGATGCAGGCCTGCAGGCCTGCATCAACTCAAAGCTGCAGGCCCAAACATCAAGGCGGGGCAGCACTGAACAAGTGCTGCTAGTGCCACTGAACAAGTGGCCCCTCCCTGCACAAAACCAGTGCAGTGTGGCAAGTTCAGCCTTCCCCCTTTGTTGCTCTGTTATTTTGAGCCTTTCAGATTCCCATGGGCAGGAGCAAGGATGCAGGCCTGCAGGCCTGCATCAACTCAAAGCTGCAGGCCCAAACATCAAGGCGGGGCAGCACTGAACAAGTGCTGCTAGTGCCACTGAACAAGTGGCCCCTCCCTGCACAGAACCAGTGCAGTGTGTCAAGTTCAGCCTTCCCCCTTTGTTGCTCTGTTTGTTTTGGCCTTTCAGATTCCCATGGGCAGGATCTGAAAGGATGCAGGCCTGCAGGCCTGCATCAACTCAAAGCTGCAGGCCCAAACATCAAGGCGGGGCAGCACTGAACAAGTGCTGCTAGTGCCACTGAAAAAATGGCCCCTCCCTGCGCAGAACCAGTGCAGTGTGTCAAGTTCAGCCTCCTCTTTGCTGCTCGGTTTTTTTTGCCTTTCAGATTCTCATATGCAGGATTTGAATGGATGTAGGCCTGCAGGCCTGCATCGACTTTAAGCTGCAAGCCTCATGGCCAAACATCAAGGCAGGGCAGCACTGAACACTGCTAATTTGCCACTGAACAAGTGGCCCCTTCCTTCGCTGAATAAGTGCAGTGTGGCATTGTTCAAGTGCCCCTCCCCCTGTGTTGCTCTGAGAGTCTCTTTTTTCAGGATCCCCATGTGCAGAATCTGAAAGCGTGCAGGCCTGCAGGCCTGCATCAACTCTAAACAGCAGGCCCCAACATCAAGGTGGGGCAGCGCTGAACAAGTGCTGCTCATGCCACTGAACAAGTGGCCCCTCCCTGCATTGAATCAATGCACTGTGGCAGTCTTCAACTGCACCCTCCCCCTGTGTTGCTCTCATGTTGTTTGCCTTTCAGATTCGCATGGGCAGGGTTTGAATGGATGTAGGCCTGCAGGCCTGCATCAACTCTAAGCTGCAAGCCCAAACATCAAGGCGGGGCAGCACTGAACAAGTGCTGCTAATGCCACTGAACAAGTGGACCCTCCCTGCAATGAATCCGTGCAGTGTGCCACTGTTTAATGTGTCAAGTGCACCCTCCCCCCTTTGTTGCTCTGTTTTTTTGCCTTTCAGATTCCCATATGCAGGATTTGAATGGATGTAGGCCTGCAGGCCTGCATCGACCCTAAGCTGCAAGCCCCATGGCCAAACATCAAGGCAGGGCAGCGCTGAACAAGTGCTGCTAATGCCACTGAACAAGTGGCCCCTTCCTACGCTGAATAAGTGCAGCGTGGCATTGTTCAAGTGCCCCTCCCCCTGTGTTGCTCTGAGAGTCTGTTTTTTTTCAGATCCCATGTGCAGAATTTGAAAGGGAGCAGGCCTGCAGGCCTGCGTCAACTCTAAACAACAGGCCCCAACATCACGGGGCAGCACTGAACAAGTGCTGCTAACGCCACTGAACAAGTGGACCCTCCCTGCACTGAATCAACGCACTGTGGCAGTCTTCAACTGCACCCTCCCCCTGTGTTGCTCTCATGTTGTGTGCCTTTCAGATTCCCATGGGCGGGGTTTGAATGGATGTAGGCCTGCAGGCCTGCATCAACTCTAAGCTGCAAGCCCAAACATCACGGCGGGGCAGCACTGAACAAGTGCTGCTAATGCCACTGAACAAGTGGCCCCTCCCTGCATTGAATCAGTGCACTGTGTGTGGCACTCTTGAACTGCACCCTCCCCCTGTGTTGCTGTCAGTTGCTGCCGTTTGCCTTTCAGACATGCAAACTTTCAGACTCACATGAGCAGGATTTGAAAGCATCAACTTTTTGCTGCAGGCCCAAATGTCGAGGCGGGGCAGCAATGAACAAGTGCTGCTGCTAATGCCACTGAACAAGTGGCCTCTGCCTGCACTGCATCAGTGCAGCAAGGCGCTGCGCAAGTGCCCAGTGCCCCCTCCCCCTCCTGTGCACACTTGGGTGTCAGGCCTGCAGGCCTGCAACAACTTCTTGCTGCATCAAAACGGGGCAGCACTGAACAAGTGCTGCTAATGCCACTGAACAAGTGGCCCCTCCCTGCACTGCAACAGTGCAGCAATGCGCTGCACAAGCGCCTGCCCCCTGTGTTGATCTTGGTGTTTGCATTTCACGTTGCGTTGTATAGCACTTGACAGGGCACTGGCCCAACTACAAGGCGGGGCAGCGCTGACCAAGTGCTGCTACTGCCACTAAACAAGTGGCCCCTCCCTGCACTGAATCAGTTCAAGTGCCCCCTCCCCAGAATTGCCCCCCAGTGCATTGCTCCCATGTTCTTGAAGGGTCCCATGGGCAAGATTTGACAGGGCGCAGGCCTGCAGGCCTGCAGGTTGCCCACTTCATTCTCAAGACCCAACCAACCAGGCGGGGCAGCACTGAACAAGTGCTGCTAATGCCACTGAACAAGTGGCTCCTCCCAGTGTGGCTGTTCACCCTCCCCCCACCAGCGCAGGCCTGCCAGCCTGCAAACAAGACCTAGCACTATGTACATCGAGGCGGTGCTGAGCAAGTCATGGTTGCCCCCCGTTGTGCAATCACCCCCTCCTCACTCAGTGCTCAAACGGTTCCTTGCAGTTTGCCAATTTGCTTTTGACGGGTGCACATCTGTTTGTCATGGGGGCCTTAAACCATTTGTCAACTGTGCAAACGATTGGCCTCAGGGCCACTTCAATTTTTTCAATTCAGCAACGCTCAAACTTCCACCCTCAGGAACTCTGACTCCCAGCCTTTAAGAGTGCTTGCAGGAAAGTAGGACATTCGCAATGTGCACTTCTGCCCCTTCACCCTTCACTTCTGACTTTCAAGGTTAGCGCTTGGGGGCGCGCCAGCATCATCCAATGGGAGTTGAAATGTTCAAGCACCCCCTCAACAAACTGCCTGACCCTGCCTTACCCTGCCCTGGGAGTTGAAATGTTCCAGTCTATGATTGCCTTTAACACCTTTGGCATGGTCCACACACACATCACCACACCCTGGCGTGGCTTTGCTTGGTAAGCCACTTGCCTCAGGGCCACCCTTCTTGCCTTTCGCCGCCCCTATGCCGCTGCGGCTGTGCCCAATGAGCCTTGGATGCAGCCATGAACAGTCAGAATGCCAATCTTGCATTCCCGAATTTCACTTAGACATGTCAATGTATGTCTGCAGCACTTGCTCAAGTAAGCGTTGTTGCCGCCTCCTGGCGCTTGATTTGCTAAGCGTGGCAATGGCTAGTAAGCAAGGGGCAAAGCCAAAGATCCAAGCAAAAGCACGGCCACAAGAAGCGCCGCAACAACCGCCACCTACAGTAATTGCTTCAGGGAGCAGGCCAGGTGCAAGCAAGCCATCAAGTGAAATGCGGCCACCAGAGCCAAGCAATCCACCGCGAAAGCCGCAGCAGCAAACGCCACCAGACCAAGTGCAGGAGCCACAGCGGCAGCAGCAGAGCCAACCCGGCCCACAACAGCACCCAGCTGGCCAGACACCAAAGGCAGCAGGACAAGCAGGCCTTCACAACCAGGGGGCAACAGCTCCAGCTGCTCCACTTCAGCAGGCTTGGGCAGCAGGCCAGCAGGCCAGCAGGCCCACAACCCAGGCGGCATGGCCACAGGCTGTTCACAACCAGGGGCCATGTCCATCGGCACCACTTCTACAGCCTGGAGCACCAGGCCAGCAGGCCAGCAGCCCCACACCCCAGGCAGCATGGCCAGAGGCTGTTCACAACCAGGGGCCATCTCCATCGGCACCGCTGCAGCCTGGAGCACCAGGCCTGCAGGCCGCATTCGCCTTTGTCCCACCACCTCCAGCGCATCCTCCAAACACAATGCCCCAACAATACTACACACCATTCCCAATGCCAGCAGTTTGGGCACCAGGGCCACAGGCAGAGGCCAGCGCTGCACCCTCCGAGCCTGCCACCAAGCAAGGAGGCCCTCCCAGTATCAACCGCCGCCTGGACAAGCGGCTTCAAGACCGCTCAATGCAAATGACGCAGGACGCATTTGCAGACCTGAATCAAATGCAGCGGCAGTTTGCAGAACAAATTGCAAGGATGCAGGCCAACCACCAACTGGCCATCTTAGAAGCTAACAACATGAACATGGAGCTGGTGAAGCAAGTGCAGCAAATGCAGTCGGACCACCGGGTGCAAATAGTCAATGAGCAGAGATGGCAGGCTGAAGTTCAAAGGTCCCTTCACACCTTGATTGCCAAGCAACATAGTGAGCTGGAGATTCTCCGAAAAGCCCTGCTCACAGGCGTGGGGTCTTCCACTGACAGGCTGGCAGGCCAGCAAGTGGAAAGGC